CATGAGTATACATTCATTAAGTGGATTAGCATGATTGCTTATGCCAACTCGATGTGCACACTTCAGCACACACGAGACACCAGAGAGCACCTTTACTGTAATTCTTTTCATTATGTTTCCATATTTCTCCAGTCAATAACAAGCGGGGCTGTGGTTAGCGAAATCAGCTGTTCTTGAATATATCAGCAGTAATGTGGAACATTTGCCTCTTAAATTAATTTCCCCAAAGCTGGACTGAGAGGCCCTTAAAAGGAAATTCACATTTCTTCTTCTAGAATTAAAAAAAACTTCACCTGGGAGTGATGAAACACGTCCTGTTGGATGTAGTAAAAGGTTATATTGTTGGGTTTTGTTGCCACAGTTTTGTTTGCATTGGCAAATATTAGCTTGCATTAAAAGATATGTCTTAGTTTGTGATTTTAAGTTAGTGTTGGCGACATATTTCCAGTAACTTACCTTTCACAGAGAGGCTGTTATGGTGACTTTATATAAACTTGCTAACTTTGAAAAATAAAGACCCACTTTTATCCCAAATTTCTACCTCATACGAACGGCTCTGCTGCAGAACGGCAGCAATTTATGCCATTTGAGGATCCCTACCGGATGCGTTTGTGAGGCGAATCTCGCGGCGGATTTCGGACAGCGGGAATCACGAGAACTCACAAGAACCTGCGGATTTGCATGCAATCACGCAATGACGAGTCGTCTCTATAAAGACAGCCACAAAACCATATTATCAGTCGATTGTGTCCTTTCAGAGGAGGAAATCTACTGCTAGACTTCTAGAATCAGCATCTCCTCATCCATGGTGTCAACGGGGTGAAATGATGTCTGAAAACCTTTGACTTGTTCGTCCCCGCCCATGTTTGCATAGTGTGAAATACGATCCTCCTAAAACACATGGTGTTTTATTTTGAAAAGAAGCCGGATGTTTTATTTTGTGTCTGTACCCGACTTCCTGTCCAGCACGGGTTAATCTTTGCTGAATTTATGTGGCACGCTGCGGCGTCTAGAAACCTGGCGATCAGCTACAAGGCCCACTGAACCGCAGGGGGCCAGAAAAGAAGCCGGTGGAAATTGACACATTTACTTAAATGGAAACGATCGGCAGCGATCAGCGGCGACGGCCTTTTCGCCGCCGTTCCGCATGTGGTGGAAATTGGGGGTTAGTCGTGGTGCGCAGCAAACCCAAGAATTCAAATTCAAAGTATTTGGACCAGAAATGATGCTGAGCAGACTCTCCTGTATATAATACAGTCTGCCCAGATCTATCAAACGTTATAGACACTATAACTAACACATCCAAATATGCCTCCATGCCAGTTTTTGAAATATAATTTGTCCAATCATGTCAAGAGGTGTTCCTAAAGTATCCTGTTTCTCTTCAGGGTATATTTTCCCAGGATGGCCTTCTTTCTCCACCCCCTCCTCTGACATGGACCCCCCCTCCGTCACTCTGGTGTCAGAGAAAGACAAGGACAACGCCTGGCTGTACACGCTGGACCCCATCCTGCTCACCATCATCGTGATGAGCTCCCTCGGCGTCCTGCTGGGTGCTGTGTGCGCAGGACTGCTCCTCTACTGCACGTGCTCCTACAGCGGGCTCTCCTCGCGCTCCTCCACGACGCTGGAGAACTACAACTTTGAGTTGTACGACGGGATTAAACATAAAGTGAAGATCAACCAGCAGAGGTGCTGCTCAGAGGCATGAAGAGACGATGAAGAGAGGCGTGTCCTCGTCCCCCGCTGAAGGGATTTTGCTCTCTGTTTGGACAAAGACACATGAAATGGAAGCACTATCTGTTATTTCAACCCCAGTGTCCCCACCCTAATTTCCTGCTCTGATGTCTAAAGGGGTAACATTCAACCCCACCTTTTTTTGCGTGCCAGTGGGAACTTGTCACTTCGATCTCCCGTAAAGATCAGGAGGCCTAAAGTTGGGGAACAGTGACCCTGGTCTCCTTTTGATAAAGAACCGTTTCTCCTCCGCCTGCAGGAGAGAGCCTGCTTGATTCTAAAAGCCTGTGAATGAATGAAGGAATGAATAAATGAATATGAATGACAGATCTATCATAGAATTTAACCCACCAGCCACTGCAGTGAAGCTACAAATGGAACAGACGACAGCACCCATGACAATCTGGACATTTGGACCACAAATGACAGCAGAGGCGGGGGGTGTCGGGGGGCAAACGTTGGAAATGGGATTCTTAACGCAGAGATAAATCTCACTCACGTGTCCCCCGGGACTTTGCAAAAGGACGATTTCACATTTGCCCTTTTTTGCTTGGAGTGAATGTGGTCAATAGAGAGGCATGCAGAAATCAGAAGTTGCAGCATCTGACTGTTTATGAAGGCTTCAGCTCCAGTGGGAACGTTTTTTTCTTTTTTGCTGAGATCAACACATATCAAGTGAATGCCTATCCCCCTAAAGAAGTTTAAAAGATATCAAACACAGAACTCGAATGAATTTAGATTTCTAAAGTCGAGGAAGAACAGAGGATGAAAAAGGACCTTCAGTTGTAGTTTTTTCTTTCTTTTTTTTCTGTTTCTGAAAGTTTTTAGATATGAGTTTCTGGAGTTTCAAACGTCCATTAATTAGCCTGCCATACGGCGCTTGCTCTTGCTCGCTCCTTTGTCCGCCCTTGGTCTGCGCTTTGTGAAACCAGTGGCATAGAAGAGTAATGGTGACTGCTTTTGTTTTGTTTTAGATTTGTGCCAGTATGGAAAAAAGGTAAAGAAAGCTTCAGTTTGTAGCCGCCCTGTAGAGAGCTCTTTCGCCATTTTTTTAGACTTTCTTTAGCATCGTGTTGGACTCCATGGTCTTAACTGTTACTTTGGACATTTTTCTACTTTGATGCATTTTTCCATCACAGATTATCAGTCTTTACAAAGAATAAAGGAACGATAAAAGTCAGATGGGAGAGAGAAAATCAGAGGTTTATCTAAATCTAACATGCTGTTATGGAGTCGTGCTTTAGATTCAGTATTCTAGAGTTTGTCTTTGGTATATATCTATATTTTTTTGCTTTTCAGACTGTATGATGCCCAAATGAGGGACAGACACTGTGTGAAAAAATGTCAGTGATTGTTTTTATTGCAACCTATGGATTGCCAAAGAGCTGTGCATGTGCACAGGGGGGTCTGAAGAGCGGACTCAAGAGTGGACTCAGACTGGTCAATCATTCTGCCTTTTATCCACCATGCTGTTTGTCACCCCCTGAATGAAGGACGCTCACGAAGAAAAAAAGGAGACAGAACGACCGAAGGAGGAGAATGGAAAATCGTACCGACTTTTCTTGGACACACAATCGAGCCTTAAGCTAACTACAGTATACGCTGTATCGGAGGACAGCCATCGAGGAGGGCCAGTGCTGCTGGAGAGACTGACGAACAGGAGGAGACAAACACACACATTACAAACACAAACACACACATAACAAACACACAGAGAGATGGACAGATTGGAGGAGAGAGAAAGAGAAGAGAAATTCTAACAATGTTTACATGCAGTCATCTCATTCCTGGAAGTAACCTGCGCCAAAAGTAAAAAATGACATTTAATACTCAAAACACCAAAGCTAGTTTCTCCAAAAAAGTATTAAGGTTCGGTTCTGGGAAAAAATGAAGATTTGAGAAACTTTTTAGGAACAAAATGAGAGAATAGATTTGTTCCTTTATGTGGAAAACATCATATCTTTATGCAGCAGTAAGCTTATTTCATATTTGGAGGGTAAAATCGGATTAAAGAGCAGCGAGTCCTCAAAACTTTGTTCTTCAAGTTACATGATTCTAGTTTGTTTACAAATTCCCTTTTGTAAATTTTTAAACTTTTTTCTTGTACTTATTTCTTTATTTTTTTAATCATAGTTCTCCACACAATCATTTCTCTTACAACGTAACAGTGCAAAAGTTCAGCTTCATTCCCTGTAATATGAAACTTTGTTCTGCGAAAGTCTCAGCTTTAATTTCCAGGTTTAAACTCGTAAATTTAGGCATTGATTCTTGTAACTTTACCCCAATTTACACCTTCATTTTTGTTAAATTATGACTGAATCCTTTTTCAAAGTCATAATGTTTCCCAGCCCTGCTCCTCTCATTTAGATATACTGTTTTAATAAAAACCCGAGGTACTCCTCTTAATGTATTCCCCAACATACAAATTGATGTCACTCAAACATCAGCTAAGTTTTAATTAAATTCATATTATCAACCTGTCACTAAAGCTAGTCTGTGTATTATCAGATGCTCATAGAAAGTCTAAACAATGAGAGTGAATCCAGGTGATACTCTGCACATAAATACATCTTATTAGACACCGGGCTGACAGATGAGGACACAAGGACATTAGATAAACAGTATGAATCTAAAAGTGAGGCTGTTTAAGGATCCACACACACACACAGATAATATGAACAGAGAATATAAAGGGCGATAAAAACAGTGTTGAATGATGATCAGATGCAAAGATAAAGGGAGGGTGAAAATGGAGAGAGAGAGAGATGGAGAGTTCTCCGTCCATCTAACTGCATTTTCATTGGACTGTTTTCCAAGTGCCTTGGAGCTCTCTTTTTATGTCTCTCTATCTCTCTCTCTCTCCTTCTCTGTCACTAATGCTCACTTTTTCTCACTCTTTTTGTTTCCTTCACATATAAACTGGTAAAAACACCAATCAGAGAAAATATGATCATCAATCTTAAAGAAACAGACGCTCATGCACGCCCAGATCGTCTCTTTCTCTCTCTCCTTGTTTTTTTTTACTTAGTTTTTCTGGTAGTCCAGATAGTATTACCTCTTCTGTCTTGATGGATACAAAGACACACTCAGACACACACACAACAGACTACATTAGGATACACAAACACAACAAACACACACACCTATGGCACTGGCCAGAAAACTCAAACTGTTGTTTGTAGACTTTGTACAGAAGAATTTCTTTTTTAATGTTATTATTATTATTTAATAAAGGCTAAATAACAAGTACTTTGGCTCTGAGGGCTTTTATTGAATCCGTTTTGTTTTGTATGTCTTCAGTTTCTTAGAAATAATTTTCTTTTTTTTTTTCTTTCTCTTAGACATATCATCTTTTTCATGTACCTTGACATGGAAACTTCAACGGAAACTTCCGCCTTCCTCTTCCTCGAGTGAAAAAGATGACATGTCTGAGATAAAGGAAAAAAGAAAACTATTTCTAAGGTTTTGTCCGCACCAAAAGGTTCGATTTCTGATATGAACCAAAGCGAAGATGATACATTGTTGCAATTTCTCAGCTGGTTCGGTTCGTGTTCACAAAGTCCAAACTCAAACGGTCCAAAAATTGTCACATGACAGCAAAAGCCGATCTGTGATTGCTTTAAAGTTTGGGTGAGTTGACGACAAATCCCTCGCATTTTTTACTGAACATCATGGAGCATCTGATCTGGACTGCATATCAGAAGACTTTAACGAACCACGTGTATGAACGGCTGGGGAGACTGTGGCAGTTAAATAATGTATTAATACACACATGTCGCAGGAGACGCTCTGCAATCGGATGGTCATATCACAGAAGATGACAGTCAATAACAAGAGCCTACCATGATGTTTTTTTTCGAGGCAGGCTTCCTGTGATTGATGCGAATGGGGTTCACACCAGAAGTAAACCACTCTAGAGTCCACTTGATAGCGGTCTGAGACCGCCCCTACCAGGCGGACCTGAGAGCGGTTGACTGGTCCGCACCAGATTTCAAGGCCAGCGTTCACACCAACCAAAACGAACCGCACCACAGAGGTGAACGCTAAGTCCCAGCTGGACTGAACTGGACTGAACTGGACTAAACGCGGCTGGTGTGAACGGGACCTAAAAAACTAAAGACATAATGAACATCATTCAACTATTAAAAGTTATGGAAAAAGGAAAGCAGAAGTTTCCGCCAAAACGTGTCTAGGTACGTGAAACAGATTACATGTCTGAGATAGAGGGGAAAAAAGAAAACTATTTACATTTTGTTTTGTTCTCCAAATAAAGTCGTCCCCAAACTTCTCTTTGGCATAAACTCTCAAAAAAATCAGTCATACCCATTTTAACTTTTTGGGTTCGCCTCCTCACTTTTCACCTTTTTTCTTTTTTGAATTTTTCTCTCTTGTTTGAGGCTTTGAAGTTTTTTGGCGTTCGCACCCATGAGATGCAAAAGAATGATCAAAGTAATTCATGTAGTGGAGCAGCTCCAATTAAGACGACGAACCTGTGAAAACACACAAACCAAAGTAACCGGCCTGCTGGAGATTAGCCGGAGGATCACACAAAGGGAATCTGTCGACTTATTTATCTTAAAAGTAGAAAAGTGAGAGGGATGAGGGAAACCAGAACGTTTTGAGACACGACACACACTGTGTCTGTGCCGATTAGGTTATCCTGGCTCTTTCTTTTTTTTTTTGAAGACCCAAACAACTTTACTATAGATTCACCCACATCCCTGACCATCTGCCCCACTTCACAATGCTTCTTAATTAGCTCTAACTGTATACAGCGCAATGCTAATTCAGTTTCAGCCGTCTAATTAGCCTAGAGAGCCATTACTTCTGATTTCTCTGCATCAGCATTTCTTCTCCTCTTTCTTCTTGCCCCTTATTTATTCATCTCATTTCCCTCTTACTGTTACTCCTCTCTGCAGGAGACCGACCCTGTTCTCACGCTTTCTCTGACACAGAAACACACATTTATCACACATGTACGCCTGTATGAACCGAATCATCTACATGTCTGTGCACACGCCCTGTTGGATGCAGTTGAAGGGCAAAGGTGCCTCTGAGTCAAATCGCAGAAAAAGCAGAAATAGTGACAATTGCGATCTGAATTTAATATGCTTAAACAAAGATTATGAAACAGCTCTTACAATAATCATGCGCCCCAGATCTCATTCCCGTCACCTCTAGATCTGAAACCGATCACAGGCGCAGGCAGAGTCACGCCTGGTTCACACTGGAAGCGCCGCGCGCGGAACGGAAGCGCCGCGCACAGAGTTTCGGATCGGCGCCCATGTTAACCTATGAGACTGTTCACACAGCACGCGCGCGGAAGCGCCGCGCGCGGAACGGCTCGCGCTCTGGAGCGCGGGTGCTCCGCTTCTCTCTATTTTCGGCGCGAGCCGCGAGCGCCGATGTAAAGCTCAACAGAGCAGATCGGACCAGACAGGAAGTCAGGAAGGAGATGCGAGAGAATCCGGTCAATTTTCAAAATAAAGTAAATTTCAATAAATTAGAAAAGGATTTACGGTGTTGCTTGTCAGTCTATTTTTTTTACCGATGAACACACACACACACACACACACACACACACACACACACACACACACACACACGGAGGGAGAGCTGCAGAGATTCAGTGATGTTATTGAGACAAAGAGGGGGGGGGACCTTATTACGATACAGTCAATAGCCTCGAGCTAACAAGGCTATACATACAACGGAGTCAACAGACTCCCCAATTTATTCGTCGTTTACCCCTATATAATAATTTAAAACATTACTTGAAGATGCTGTCAATATTTAATTCATGTATGACGAAATAAAAACGTAAATAAATAGTGATTTACCCATTTTTAAAGCGCTCGTAAGTGTGGAAAACTGAGGGCAGACGGAAACGGCCGAGCACTACCGGGCTCAGTCGATGTCTGACCGGCATGTCAGAGCGCAGCAGAAAGCGCTTCCTGTGTGAACAGCCAAGCGCGAGCCGGCGCTGCGCGCGCGCGCGGCGCTTCCAGTGTGAACCAGACGTCAGGCGTGTCAGCGTGAGTGTGAGTCTGAGGATGCAAACACACTTCAGAGGGTCTCTTGTGGTTAGACTTTGCTGAGAGTGTAACCTACTAACATAGATTTTAACTCTTTGCTTAGCAGCACAGAGTTTTCAGAGATTTTCGATCATGCAGGCAAACACACAAAGAAAGAAAGAGAGAGAGAAGGAGGGAGACGGTTTAAGGTCCTTTCACACCAGGACTGTTTTTTCGTGCGATTATTTCAGCGACGTGTTCCCGTCCTACGATATTGCGGCATTTATTTTTTCGTATCCCGGTCGAATTCTTTTAAGTTTCTCATACTGTGTGTCCACTTCTGACTGATCAGATCTCGTGTTGTTGCAACGTCAGATTTACCGGTATATCCAACATGGCCGACCAGCTGATCGTTTACATGTCGGAGAACAGAGTGCAAACATTACAAAGACAACAACCTGAGGGACAACTTGTGGAGTCATAGCGTCGGATTTCTCATATGACGATGGTTTGTGTGCTTTAACAGTTTGCTAAACGTCTTTGTTTTAACTTTCATCTTTGCTAACTAACTTTAGCTCGTAAGCTAACCTGTTCAGATACAACATACAATATGTATTTTCACTGTCTCAAACTCAACCACAGCGTTGCTGTCACAGCACCATTAGGTCTCGGTTGTTACCTTACGTTTATGGATTATAGTTTAATGCGCTTATCTGGTACTGACCCCGACTCAGTACATGCTATCATGACAGACAGACATCTCAACACTAGTGTTGAATCAGAACTGAAAAACAGTCGGGCTGGTGTTGTGTCAGTCTTCTTGCCTCACACGGGACGCGTCTTTTTTCCCCAAAAAAAGTCGCAAAATCACATTGTGCTTGATAGTCAGGCACATCAAAATTCACCACCAAATATATAATTTCGCATCATATATTTGCGTCATTCCCAGTGTGTAACGAACCTTTAATGTTAAAAACGCTCATTACCGATCACCACTTTCATTTTATTTGTTTTCCAGTGTCAGAAAAGCCCTCGGCCATTTTTGGATTATTTAAAGTTGGAAGTTCTGAGGTTGCACTCAAACATTACCCAACTATTATATCACTCAGCCTCCTCTCTCTCTTTTTCCATCTCTCTCTCTCTCTCTCTCTTTTTATAACACCACATCCAAATGCACACGGCTCTGGCATAAACCAACAGGCAGCCCCTTATAAACGCGGTGAGTCGGGCACTTATTGGAGGGCAGTAATACTCAGCAGCAGCTCTGAAAGCTGGGGGAACAAATTATGTGCTGCACAAAACTATTATAGCTGTAGAAGGGACTTGGTTGTTTTTATATGTGTGAGTATATAATAAATCTATACCTGCCTCGGGTGAAGAGCACAATAGGAGAGAAGCAGCTCTGACAGAAAAGCCTGTAGATACTGTATCTGCAGCATAATCCACATTATGAGCCATTTCTCCTGATATAATGTCAACTTCAAACATCACATTTACATAATCGGTGTTACCGAAATCTGAATCAAAATCTAATGATTGAAATTCAAAGTTTGCATCAAATTCCCTTTATTTCTAATGCATTAGAAAACAGCACCGAATGAATGAATGCATGATTATTCATTCTTTTCCTCCCCTGCTCGCCTGCTGCACATATACCTCCCATCTTCCAGCCCTCTGAATTATTTCCATTTACTGGAATAATTATTTGTGGAGCAAACAATCCAGTGGAATATTTATTTAATTTCCCGCCCTTCTTTCTTTCTCTCCATCTTTGCACCTGTTCCACCTTTTTTCCCCCCTTTGCTTTCTCTCCTCCCTGCTAATTCTGCCTAACTGATAAGCTTTAATTATTTTAATAGCATTTTAAGGGAACAAAGCGGCAGTGATGTTAGCAAACAGGAGACAGGACTTAAAAGCGTTTTTTAAATAATGAGCCACAAATTACATTTGCTTGCTCTGCAGCCTCTTAGTGGATCTTGTTTTTCAATTTGTAAAAACATAAAAGTAAGCTAGGAGCGAAATGTCTCCTTTAGCCTGACTGTATCAAATCCATTACGTGTGTTTTTTTCTCTTTCTTTATCTTACCCCACCTGGGTGGGCGTCTGGGTGAGAAAGCTGTTCACGGTCTTGGCAGCTTCCAGCACCCTGCTCTCTAATGTCCCCAACTCACTGGCTTCATGTTGCTAAATCAAATTACATTTCATCAGACAAAAGCTTTTTTTTTTCTCCACTACACCAGTACAAATAAGATTGTTGTAAATCTAATCACAGTATAAGGTTTATTGCTTTTTCATTTCTGGGTTTTCATTTGTTTGGCTGTTCGCCAGGTGCTGGCAACTGTCCCTGAATTACCACTAAAATCAAAAGTTACAATAAAGCAGCACGGCTCACCTGAAAAACTCATTTGTTTTGTTTAATTAACTTTTAATTCACATGTATTCCCCTGTTTTATCCGTCCTGACTGTATTTTTAACTCTCTCTCCCTCTTTCATTTCTTTCTCCCGTTAATCCAAAACTTATTCAATCTCTCCTCTTTCTTCCTTTATGAAACATTTCATCTTCAGTGTCCTCGCCCTGTGTCTTTATTTGTTTTCATTTATTTATTTTACATTTCATCAGTCACCATCACAGCGAGCACATTCTGTTAGCATGATATCAGTCTTTCCCTTCGGTAGCCTTCAGTTTATCTACTCCAGCTGCTCAGCCACAAACACTTGTGCTTTTAGAGACGGTTGTTGACACCGAGACTCTTAGACTATCCAAGGCTGTGGTTTTCCCCCCCTTCAGTGGAGTGTGTGTGTGTGTGTGTGTGTGTGTGTGTGTGTGTGTGTGTGTGTGTGTGTGTGTGTGTGTGTGTGTGTGTGTGTGTGTGTGTGTGCACTAAGGGAAAATATTTATCTAGGAGTGTCAGTTACACTCTGGGAGTGTGAGCATCGCTCCATACCATTTAACAGGGCACCTTTGTTATTTTGTTCGGACGAAGAGGGGACTCAGTATTTAGTTGGTCACAAAGTTTAACACAAAGAACTGCTGTATGATGGTGAAAATCTGACTATTTAAAAGTATAAAGTAAAACTGTTATGAGGAAAGAGAATCTTGAAATTTAGAATTCAGAAAACTAGTTCTGGCACAAAATACCTGGTCCATCCAGGGCTGTGCCACCCGGAACAAACTGTCGTCGGCTATTAGGGCCCCATGTTTGCTGTTTTTTTAGCACTATTCTTAATATTTTTATTGTATCCTATACTGTATTGTATTTCTGGCAATCAAGATTACAGTACTCTGTATCGTGAACATGCCCATGAATGTACACTGTCTCATCTAAATAAACAATTAACTGAGCTAAACTAAAAAATCTGCCAACGACTGGTGAAAGTTTTTCTCCTGACACCAAATAATTATTATCAAAGCAGCTATAAAAGAAAATATAACCCACAGAATGAATGGGGCCCAAATATTTTCTAAATATTTTTCACATATAGGTCAAATCAGCCATTTTTGAAAGGAACAACGAAAGCAGTTGTGGTAAACAAGCTCTCATCAGCAGTGTGAATGGGTTCAGACCATAGACTGTATAAAGAATGGACAGCGTCTGCCTCCTCGCTGGGTGAAGCCACTCTGAGAACAGCACCCTCTGTTGGCAGGCTGCAGTATAGGTCATAATTCCCGCTTCCGCCAGCAAAGTTAATGGAGCTGTGGACAAACTTCAGAAATTTATTACACAGTATATAAATGTTTCTCCCCCTGCTTGCGATGTTGACATGTAGTTACTGTAAGACTGGTTTGTGCTCAAGTCCTCTAAAAGTTATTAGGAGGTTCATGTTTTCTATGATTGACACTTGATACAGCCTATGGGCGTACAACGCTACTGCATAATGCTGGTTTCAGGAAATGAAGAAAAACCACGAGAATACCGAGAGCTTTTTGGCTTCAAATCAGTATACTGACAGGAGGTGGAACCAAGTTGTCCAGAGTATATACAGTCTATGGTTCAGACAGCTCCACTGCCTGATATGGGGGTCCCCTTAGACAGGTGGATCTCACTCAAGGATCCAGGTCCCCTCTTGGCAGTTTAAAAAAAAAACAGTAAAAGTCAAATTTCTAGTAACATTATGGTAAAAGACCTTAAAAGAAAAATTTGTGGAAAAAATGTGTGTGTATGTGTGTGTGTGTGTGCTAGGATTTGAAGATCCAGACACAGAGCGGGTGAAGCAGATCTGACTGAAACCTTCAGCCTGAGGTAAACATAAACACCTGCGATATATGCTTACACGCACAAACTGTACAGCACACACTCCCTCTTCCTTAAATAGCAACAATAGCGCTCAACAGGAGCCACACAGAGAGCGCTTTCATCTGCGTAGGTGGTGTAGGTGTGTGTGTTTATGTAGATGTGGATGTGTGTGCTGCAGGAGGCCTCACTTGTACTCCCTGTCCTCACCCACACACACAGCCGACTCTGCCTCACTGTAAAGGCCCGTGCCTACACATACCTGTCAATAAGTGTTGGATCAAACCCGACCTGCCCACGGAGCAGCCTCTCACCGCGTGTTTCAGTGTTACATCA